TTTAACCTTGATGCTGATCTGTGTTTGTGTGCGTCTGCCCTCTGTCATCACTCTTCTATTATTTACCACGCGTCTCTGTCTGGGAAGGGCTTGTGTGTGAGGCTAGCAATCGCTTCTAGGTAAACAACCACTGCCAATGACACGAATGACCCTCACACACACAAACGCACACACACACACATACCTTACTAACCTCATCCCTTCTCTGACCACATCTCATTTCAGATCGATATGTTTTAAGCGAGGCCTCATCCGCCTAAAACAAACTTTGCTTGCATGGCTGCTGTGTGTGTTTGTTTAATTTCATGGAGGATGCAGGTGTCATTTTCCAGGTCAGTCTATGGTGCCCTTTAGGTTGTCTTCAGGTGACAGTGAGAGATATCCATCCTCTCTATCTTTGACACCTCAGTATGCCTGCATGTCTCTTTCTGTAGCCAGATTAGCTGCTTCAGGGTTGGGTATAGATTTGTTTACATACATGCACACAGACTTTACATATAGAAGACTCATTTTAAAGCTACCTATATGTATAGATCTTTTGGCAGTGTTATAGAAAATCAGCCCTATGGGTCTAACTAATTATTTTTTTCAGTCATAAGACACAAGCAATACTCTGTGAGGTATTTTACTATCACTTCTGTCATTATTTAAGTTTATAAAATTGAACTGACGCTTTTTACTTGTTTCCCTGTAACTCATCTAGTGCAACTGCCTTATTTCCTTCATGTTTGTCTGGCTGTCACATGTTCAAAAAGGAGGGAAAATGCACACATAGACCATTACATTTAATAGGGAGACACATATGCTCAGTTACTGCAGAATGAATGACCAACAAATCAAGAAAAACTCAGTTTAATCAGTCATTCTTCAATACTTCCCTAATTACCCTTGATTTAAGACTTTATTATTGATAATGATTTTCTTCTACTGTAGAATGGTCTGGGAGATACTAAATAAGTGAATCATTAGGTAATGAGTAATTCATAATTAGTGGTAACGTGATTATCTCCCCATTTTCTTTATGAGTTATTCCTTATTGACTCTAATTCAAACACTGAGCATCAACTGTTCATTCATTACTAATTACTCCAACATTTCTTATTCTTTGTGGCACCTCGAGTAAAGTGAATCATATTTACTAGTTTCTTAGTTCTTCATTATCTTTACAGAAATCAGAGACACATAATTAACTAAGTCTGGATTAATGAATGAGTAGGTGTAACTCTGTGCCACACAGTGTGGAGTTACATTATTATCAACTAATGATTGATTATTTTAATATAGATCTTGACTGAATAATTATTGCTTATTATATAATCCTGGATCAGGAATTATCAGGGTGTGATAAGTGTTTCAGGTCAATCTTTTTTTATTTTCAATTCTTTTATTTACTCATTCTTTCATAATTACATGTTACTGTTTTCCTTATTGTAAAGCAATAATGAAAAAAAGAATCTGCCCACAGTCTGCATCAATGATATCATGACTTAAAAAAAATATCCACACATGATTAAACTGTTGATACACCCTAAGGCATGGTGCTGTAGACAGACAGACAGACACTTTATTTAAGGGAAATTACTGTGTTACAGCAGCAGGATAAAGAATAAAAACACTACAGTTTACAGTAAATAAACAAAAGTTAAAGTGCAAGGAACATAGTGAGGGCCTTATGCTGTAAGAGCATGGAAATGTAAATATACAACAGTGATTTTAAATTAAAGAAGAGTAAAAAAAAAAATAAGGCTGGGATTGTGCAACAGAGTATTAGGGTAGGGTGTTTGAGCTTAAAACTACTGATAACCTAGCAGCTATTTGCAGCCAACCTGACTTGTGTCTGATGTTTTTTTTTTTTTTTTTTTTTTTTTTTTTTTTTTTTTTACCAAAGTACACCAAAAGAAAATATAAAGCATCTATTATCATTTTTTTTTAATGTGACAAATTATCTCACATCAATGATCATGTTTCATTCTGAGTTGAGCTTTGACGAGAGTTCAGTTGTATATAAACCACAGTAGTACTTCAGCACGAACATTTGGATTGAGATGGTAAAAAAAATTGTAGGCCTTGTAGCTTTAAGGTTTTTAGCTGTATTTTGTGAGTCAAAAGTAAAAGCATCAGAGACCTTGGTGTTTCCATAGAACACAAACCAACATTGAAACTCTTGTACTATCAAGAAAGTGGTCACTTTAAAGCACCCGAACCTGAATACTGTATTCTCTTTGAGGCCCACTCCAAGAACAAAAGAGACATTAACAACGACCCTCACTAATGCTAATCTTCAATAGGATTGTTTGTCCATTCATATCCTTACTGATCATGTTTTTCATCTACCTTCTTGTCTCCAGTGTTTTTCAGACAAACAAAAGATGCAGAATAAATTAGTTTTATTATGCCAATTCCAATTAAAAACTCACAAAGACAGCTTTAATTAAGCAATAACTCTTAGAATCTGATATGTATTTGGGGCGATTGTGGCTCAAGAGTTGGGAGTTCGTCTTGTAATCGGAAGGTTGCCGGTTCGAGCCCCAGCTCGGACAGTCTCGGTCATTGTGTCCTTGGGCTTCACTTCACCTACCGCCTACTGGTGTTGGCCAGAAGGGCCGATGG